TGACTCCAGCGGGTACTGACTCCAGCGGGTACTGACTCCAGCGGGTACTGACTCCAGCGGGCAGTGACTCCAGCGGGCAGTGACTCCAGCGGGTACTGACTCCAGCGGGTACTGACTCCGGGGTGATACATAAATTTTAGCAAGGAGGCAAATTCACAAATACGGAATCTGAGAATAAAAGGGATTGGCCGTGTTTTGTGCAGGCGTTTGGTGACAAAGGTCATAGCAACCCCTACTCCTGATAGGAATCACAGCTGCCTCTTTCCCACCTGTCCAGTAAGCACAGTGAGACGACGCACCTCTGGATAAATGACCAACGACACTGGGAAGGCACCAAAGTCACTCATTCCTCGGTGCCCCTCTGGTTTCTGGCTGTGCTTGACTTTCATCACACCTGCAAGAGCCCAGGGTTCCCCGAGTCTTTCTGCAGGGAAAGAGAAAGCCAAGAAGCGGGCCGACGTCTCTGCTTGGCGGCAGGTCCTCCCTGCACTCTGCGATCACTCTTGGTCAGGGTGGAGGTGACGCAATCTCATTACTCAACACACCTGCCTTCCTTAGGCTTGAGAGAGGCCAGGGACGCAGGAAGGCCGCAGAGCGTGGTGGGACCAGGAAGCCTGGCTCTCCCTACAATGTCCCACCAGCAGGGGTTCAGAACGCAGCCAGCGGAGCCAGCGCGGGCGCACCCCCAGCTCTGCGCCCACTGGATACACAGCATCCTCAGTCCTTAAGTGTTAACGACTCGGAGCCCCAGTCTGCTCATCGGTGAAACGGCAGCACCACAGCAGCCCCACCTTCTCGGCTGCGAGGGCATTTACGGAGACCCTGGAGGGAACACGCTCGGCACGGCTCCTGGAGTGCCGGGAGCTTCCAGGCAAAAGGAGCCCTGAGAGCAGAGTCACCTACTGTGGGGCCTGGGACAAGTCGTTTAAAACACACAGTCTAAGGACAGGGAGGGGACTTCAGAAGTCCCGACAGACCCCAGCTGGAGTGCAGTTCTCCCAAGAGCCGTCCAGCCAGTCCAACCTCGTCCCCTGCTCAGAGCTTCCCCGAGGCCCGCTGTGCCCGGGCATGTAAACTGGGGGTGTCAGGTGGGACAGATAAGGGAGGGTGTGCCCCACCAGCTTCTGCCAGCCGTCCCTGGGCCTTCCCAACACAGCGGGGTCCAAGAGTCAAACAGGGGCACTATGGGTGGGGAGAGGGGTGGGGGCTGGCTGGCTTTTCACTGGAACCTTCTGGACACTCTTTGAGTGTCGGGTGCCTTAGTTCCCAGCTACGGTGTCCCCTTTAAAAAGTTAACGCATACACAAGTAAGCACCGTGGCAGACTCCCACATGTAACAGAAACATCCAGAATTCCACATCGAAGTACAGCTGCCTCGGAACATCTGCTCTGGCCTGCAGCTTCCACCCTGTCGTCCACCCTCCTACTCCTCCCCCACCAGGCAAAGCTCTTCCCAGCCGACCAAAGGGCGCCTGCCTGCACCCTGAGGGAGGCGGCGAGGGGGCCAGCACACGCAGCCCCCTGGCTGGGAGGACAGGAGGCCCTCCCCGCCCTCCCCACCAACCCGTTCAAGCCCCCTGGCACCCTGTTGCAGCACAAGGTTACAGGTGGCCAGCTCCTCAAAAAGCTCCCGGTCTAGCTCAGGAGACAGAGTTAGACACGGGTCACTCACAGGAATCCATGAAGGGCAGGCACGCAGGGCACAGGTGGCTGCAGGAGATCAGAGGGAGGCTCCTCTCGGCTTGGGGAGAAGGCCTCCAGGGGAGGGGACACTGCGCCACCAGCTCCAGGAGGCAGGGGACCGTGTCTGTCCTGTGTCCCCAGAGCCACACACCAGGCAAAAAGCAGATGTTTCACTGATATGAACCGAACCAAAATGTATGTCTGAGAGCGTATGGGTATACAGAGAGAACGTATATGCAGACGTGTGTGCGCGCGTATATAGGCAGACGCATGTAGACGTACGTGTGCACAGGTATGCCCACGCACACGCACGCAGGCATCTGAGCTGACTCCGAGGTGGATTCTGAGCAAGCCCGGTTTAAGCACAGAGTTCGCAGGTGGAGGGAGACGTGGAGCCCGAGTCCAGGCCAAGCACAGTGTAGACGGAGAACTGCAATCAGCGTGGGCTGCTGGGGCGTGGAGGGCGAGGAGAAGGGACCAGAAGGGAGACTGGGAGGTGATGTGGCAGAGGGGCAGGGCCAGGCGCCCAGGCCCCTGTGCCGCGTGTGCTGCTGACACCTGTGTTCTCTGACTGCCACCAAAAGATGAAAAAAAAAAACAAAAAAACCAAGCAGCAGCCAACTAAGCTGATGTCCCAGGAGGCCAGACTACGGCTAACCAAACCATGCCCTGAACCATAAACAGCACGCTCTGCCTCCTGGAGGACTTCTACTCAGACAGAGGCCCCTGAAGGTTGCATGGGAACAGTCTCTATAACGGCCACTGGGGAGCGCTCCCTGGTGTCTCCTCAGGTCGTTCCTAAGGCCACAGAAGAGCCCCAGCCCTGGCACGCACCTATTCGGGACAGGTAGAAGGTGAGGGGCTGGAACTGCAGGTGAGAAGACGCGAGGGTGGGCAGAGAGACAGCCTCAGAGACTGGGCCCTGGGCTCCCACCGCCAGCCCCGGCCCAGCCCCCGGCGTACCTTTGGGCTGTCAGATCCGTAGAGACCTGGCCGACAACACCACCGTGGTGGGAAGACGCAGCTAAGGGTGGGCTTTCCAAGTCTGCGGGGGCAGCTGGCTGGACGGCACCATCTGCCACAGGGGACCTGGGGAGAGAAGAGGAAAAACGCCAACGTTGAGAGATATTCCTACACGTTTTAAATGTGTTCAAACAGCACGTTTTATCTGGACCCTGAGCAGGGCCTCCGTTTCCCTTTCTATGAAGGAGGAGCCTGGTGCTCACAGTGTGGTCCACAGTCGCTGCTCCGTGACACGATGAGGACAGAAACGCAGAGCACGTGTTCAGAAACCTTCATGGCTGTTTGATAGAGTAAGTTTACGTCTGTTAAATCTAGTAACAAAACGTCCTGACTTTTTGGTCAGTGGTGCTCAGCCAGGGGGGATGTTTGCCCCATAGGGGACACTGGAAATGTCTGGAGAAATTGTCGGTTGTCACAACTCCAAGGGCACTGGGGTGCTACTAGCATCTAGTGGGCAGAAGCCAGGGAAGCTGCTGGGAATCCTACAACGCACAGGATGGCCCCCACGACCAAGGGTCATCTGGCTCAAAACGTCAATGGTGCAGAGGGTAAGGAACCCTGGCCTTGAGTGAGTGAGTGAGTTAGTTAGTTAATTTATTTATGAATGAATGAATGAATGAATGAATGAATGACAGAGTCTTGCTTTTGTTGCCCAGGCTAGAGTGAGTGCTATGGCATCAGCCTAGCTCACAGCAACCTCAAACTCCTGGGCTCAAGCAATCCTGCTGCCTCAGCCTCCCTAATAGCTGGGACTACAGACATGCGCCACCATGCCGGGCTAATTTATTCTATATATTTTTAGTTGGCCAATTAATTTCTTTCTATTTTTAATAGAGACAGGGTCTCGCTCTTGCTCAGGCTGGTTGCTCAGGCTGGTTTGGAACTCGTGACCTTGAGCAATCCTCCCGCCTCTGCCTCCCAGAGTGCTAGGATTACAGGCACGAGCCACCACACCGGGCCTGGCCTTGGGTTTTGTTTCATTTTTCCGGTAAATCATTTAACTATATTTTCAATAGTTTCGATCTACAATGAGTTAGAAAATAAAAAACTGCACCGGTCCCTCATGGGTTGAAAAGGTCTGCGCTAGACAGCCTCCAAGAGAGGCTGGTGCTGGAAGCTCAGGGACACTGTCCTTGGCCATCAGCCGGACAGCCCTGTGGGGAAACCCCTCTGCGAGCAGTTACGACCTGTGACGCCATCGGGAGGTCCCGGAGTGACTTTCTTTCTATGAGCTCCGTCCTGAAGCCGTAAGTAACAGCACCATTCCTTGCCCTCCTTGAGCGGGTACTTACTGAAACCCACCGTCCTGCCGTGAACAAGAGACGTGGTCCCCGCCCTCCTGGGACCTCCGACAGCCTCACTTTTTAAAATGATTATTTAGTAACAATTGTAGTAATTGCTAAGAAGGAACGCGAATGGCTATGAGAAAACAAACTGAGAGTTCCTGGCCCAGCGAGGGGGTCAGGGAAAACGTCCTCGTGCCGTGGTGAGTGTGCCGAGGCCAGCTGGCCGGCTCAGGGACGGAAATGTTTGTTGAAGCTCACTCTGCACAGGATCAGGATCTCTTCTAAGGGCTTGCAGAGAACACCGTATTCAATCCTTAAAACAACACGGTGAAGCGGGTACTATTACCGTCCTCATTTTACAGATGTCGCAACTAAGGCACAGAGAGGCTGAGTAACTTGTCCACGGTTGCACAGCAGGTAAGTGGCAGAACCAGGACACAAACCCAAGCCTGACCCCAGGAGCCATGCTCCGAATCAGCACACGTGGCTTTGTCCCAAAGGTTGAAGAGTAAGAGAAAGGAAGAGTGCCCCCGCCCCCAGTGCAGGGAGCCACATGATGGGAAGACTCACAAAGCAGCCTGGTGTTCTGGGGAACCGCAAAAGGTCACTGTAACTAGCTAGAGTGTAAAGAAGGGGTACCGGACCAGGAGGCCAGGTCGAGGGACTGGGACTGGATCCTAAGCCCAAAGCTTCTATTGAGCGTTCAGCCACAAAGAGCTGCCCGTGGTGTTGAGAGGAATGAGAGTGGAAAGGCTCAGGGTGAACGTCCCAAAACTACACTCTCAGGCTGGGTGCGGTGGCTCACGCCTGTAATCCTAGCACTCTGGGAGGCCAAGGGAGAGGATCGCTCCAGGTCAGGAGTTCCAGACCAGCCTGAGCAAGAGCGAGATCCTGTCTCTACTAAAAATAGAAAGAAATTAGCTAGACAACTAAAAATATATAGAAAAAAATTAGCCGGGCATGGTAGTCCATGCCTGTAGTCCCAGCTACTGGGGAGGCTGAAGCAGGAGTTGGAGGCTGCTGTGAGCTAGGTTGATGCCATGGCACTCACTCTAGCCTGGGCAACAAAGCAAGACTCTGTCTCAGAAGATAAATAAATAAAAAATAAAAAACTACACTCTCAACAGGACGGGCCTAGACACGCGTGTGCCCCATTTCCCGCCCATTCCCTATCTTCCCGCTGACCACTCTAACTGCCCCAGGACAAGATCCCGGCGCCCTGTGACCACGCGCAGGGAGCAGGAAGGCGCCAGCTTGGAGGAGGGAGGATGGCAGGGCCTGTGTGTCTCCGTTGTCTGCTACAATTTGCAAAAGCCGAAACTACAGGCAGTAACGAGTTTCCAAAGTCATAAAACCTGAGAGGAAAAGCAGAGCCCGGGAGCTTGGCAACACACATTGAAAGCCATAAAAGACTTTGTTTCCATTGTACTTCCAAGAATTTATTTTAAGGAAATGATGAGGGTGTGGGCAGATGCTGTGATCGCGATAGCACAAAATCTGGAAACGTCCAAAACGTCCACCCACAGGGGACAGTTCACCAAATTAAGGCACAGCCAGAGAACAGATTCATTTGCAGCTATTTAAAAAATAAGGTAGATCTTCCTATATCTAGATGTAAACATGTCCATTCTTAACTGAAAATAGGTTTAAAAAAAAAAAAACTATGGGCAGCATGACCCAGATTTTATATGTGTGTGTATCAATACACATGTACCATGTGTGTATATGCAGTGTACACATATAAATACACACATGCACACAGAGAAAGCAAGCAACAGGCTGGAAGAACACACAAGCGTCGTGGAAGAGCATGTGCCAAGGTGTTGACAGTAACGCTCTCTCGGTAGTGAAATTTGGAGTGTTTTTTTCTTCCTTGTGCAATTTATCTCTATTTTCCAATTCCGTGCTGGACACGTACTGCTTTCATAAGCAAAATAAACAAGAAAACATACTTAAGGAATATTAATTTATTCCTAATAATATAAATTCATTAATTTATGTGCCAGGGGACAACTTCGATGCATAACTCAGTGAACGTTTTAAGAGACGCAGACAGTTAGAACGATGCCACCTTTCCGCCACCGCCGCATTCACGTTTTCCACTGTGAGGACCTAGACTTGTCAGCCTCCTTCCCAGGCGGGAACACGGCCACGCCTCAGTCGTCGGGCATCGCTGGGGAAAATGAAGTCCCAGCAGAGTATTTGGTGTCATGGATGTCTGCCTACCTATTCCACGAGATGGCATTTTTAGCTTAACTCTTTGGATGGAATTACTTTTCCCTCCCTGATTTCTTTTCTTTTCTTTTTTTTTGAAGAGGGGATCCTGAATATAATTTTAAACACTTTCTCAGTGACACTCAATCATCCCAAGCAACTATGACTTAAGCGAGGAAGTGTGCTATGGCACCAAAGACAACACTCACAGACGAAGTCAAGGGGCCGGATCCTAGTCCAGCCCCCTGTGGGATCTGAGCCAGGGGACTTCTCTGAGCTTTAGCTTTTCCGTCTGGAAAAGTGAAGGCGCTGGACTCCACGATCCCTGAGGACTCTGACTCAGCCAGTCCCTCCCGCTCAGGATGTCAGCTGTCACCTCTGCTCACCAACTCACCCCCATTTCCTGGCTATGTTATGCCTCCCAGTTTTCTGCTTCTGATAGACTACAGACGAAGAAACATGGCTGAGGGTGTTAGAATAGTGTGTACATCAAGAGTCAATAAGCTCTGAATAAAGATCTATAAACCTCCCATAGCAAAGAATTGTAATATTAAAATATACATGTATGGGGATATATACATATACACACACATACACACACATACACATACATACACACACATTAGGCTGCAGTATATGGGTACCTATGAAATTGATGGAAAAACGTTGTCGAATTCACATTGTACCATCAGCTCCACGGCCTTTCTTACTTCCTAGTAACCTGGTTATTTTCCAGATGGCCAAGGAGAGGGGAGGGCCGACTTCCGGGGAAACGGAGCGATTCTTATACAACAGCTCTTCTCAGACCAACTGCAAGAGGCTACAAGTGGTTTCTAAATTCTGCCGGAGATGGTTCTGGGACTACAGTGACCGAAATATTTTTCAGATTTTAACCACCAGCTGTTGCACCAGCTGCTGGAGCCAGCCCACTATAAATTTAGTCAGGCCAGCAAAGGGTTGATTTGCCACTGGAATGTGAGGGAGGGAACTTGTGCTCTCAACAAGTGCTTTGCCAGAGGGCCATGAGTCACCCACTTCAGAGACTGGGACAGGACGGGCTTTGCCCAGAGAGGAAGAGGAAGAGGTTTCTATGCCAGCCTAAAAAGCCAATACCTTCCGTCCTGCACTTGACCCCTGCCACAGGCCAAGCCCACGGCAGGTACCAGGATGCGTTGCATGGGGGTCACACACTCCGGGGCTGACCGGCTATCAAGAGCAGGACGAGTGGGAAGTCTAACGCAAGAACTGTGAAGGCTGGTGTCTTTGTCCGATCAGGTAGCTACAACCAAATCCTATAGACCAGGCGGCTTATAAACAACAGAAATGTATTGCTCTCGGTTCCGGAGGCTGGGAAGTCCAAGATCAAGGCCCCGGCAACTCCGTGTAGGGAGGACCCCCTTCCTGGTTCACAGCTCCTTCTCACTGCATTCTCTCCGGGGCCTTTTTTTATAAGGGCAGTAATCTCATTCCCAAGGTCTCCGCCCTGTGGCCTAATCACCCCCCAAAGGCCCCACCTCCAATGCCATGGACTTCGGGCTTAGGGTTTCAACATATGAATTTTGGGTG